GGAATGGCTTGGCCCAAACTTTTTTTTTTCCCTTCCCGCGGCCTGAGCGGGCGATGCTGGGAGTTGTAGTCGCCCCGGCGGGAGGGGAGGGAAGGGGGGCTCTGGGCTACCTCCCTGGCCCAACTCCGATCTCTATCGGGCGCAGCCCGGGGCCCCAGCCCTCCATCTTTCCCCTCTCCCTTGGTGATCGCTCATTCTCTTGGTTTTATCTCCAAAACGCTTCCTGCACGTGTCCCTTCTACTCCACCCCATATACTGCTCTAACCTGTTGCAAGCTCTTCCGTGGATGCCACAGTGCCTCCCTCCTCCACCCAATTCTGTCTCCTCCCCAATTCCAGTTTCTACTGCTGTTTAACAAACAATCCCCAAACTTAGTGGCTTAAACAGCCATTGTATGATGCTCACAGAGGTGGTGGGGCAGGAGTTGGGGCAGGGCAGAGCAGACAGGGACTGCCTCTGCCCCTTAGCGGCAGAGACTCTGAGGCAATCATCTGGAGGCATGTTCACTCACAGGTCTTGCAACTGATACCAGCTGTGGACTGGGGCACCTACAGGGGCCTCTCCTCCCAGGAGGTGTGCAGGCTCCTTACACAGCCATCCAGGGCCCCCAAAGTGAACAAGGCCGTCACTGTATTACCTTTCCTGGCCCACCCACCCTCGAGTATCACACTGTGCCACTTCTGGCACCAGATTCAAGGGGAAGGGACATAGATGCCATCTCTCTCAGTGGGTGATGTGTCAAGGTGACCTTGTGCAAGAGGATGTGGGGCGAGAGAGATTATTGGGGTGGTTTTGGAAAAGTTAACCCCTCATTCCTATGTTCCATTCTCCACACACCTTTCCTGGCCCACCCACCCTCGAGTATCACACTGTGCCACTTCTGGCACCAGATTCAAGGGGAAGGGACATAGATGCCATCTCTCTCAGTGGGTGATGTGTCAAGGTGACCTTGTGCAAGAGGATGTGGGGCGAGAGAGATTATTGGGGTGGTTTTGGAAAAGTTAACCCCTCATTCCTATGTTCCATTCTCCACACAACC